TAACAATTTTTACTTTCCTTTAAAAACGTTTAACATAACGGTACTATGAATAGTTGATGTCAGATTTGCCGTTTTCGAGAAATTATTCCTCAATAAATTAAGCAACTTTAAGTTGAAAAATTGAAATTTTTCAAAAAGCGTTACTACAAGCTAAGGCTTCAATTTTGCCATAAAGCTTTGATTTGTACCTGCAACTGTCTGAGGGATAAAAATAAATGCGGAAAGACAGTCTTCAAACTCTTCTTTCTAATTAAATGCTGTACCGGCTGATTTCTAAAAGTATGAAGAAATTTTATGAAGTTGTTGTACTCCGTCATTTCATAATATAACAATAAATTGTCCATTAAATTTCCCAAAAATATTTCCCCAATAATATTCTATAAATCCCTTCAATTTTATAATTAAAAATTCAGGGAAATTCCAAATTACTTAAAAAATTTGCTACTGAAATTCAATAAATTTTTAATTCCATATAAATTAAATTCTTTTTATAAATTTAATTAATTTTTTTAGAAAATATATGTACATACATAGTTGTAAGAAATTTGAACATATGCCCGAAATATTGGTATGGCAAAAACATTTTCCTTCAACATAAAATTGCATTTTTCCTCATTACAATTATACTTATATATTATTTTCTATACCACATAGAATTGCGTGAAAATATTTATTTAGTGTTGTAAATGCAATTTACGAGTATGTAGAAGAAATTTAGAAACTGAACCTAGGAAAAAAAAATTTATAGTTTCATTGTTTCAAAAGTGTATCACATAGAGTGTCATTTTAATTTTTCCTTTTCTCTTATTATTTTCACCCAGCCACTATTCTTTCCGCTTCTGATATACGACACTCAAAATAACTTGGCATACATAAACACACATACATACGTGGTTACTCTATGTAGTAAAGTTAACTAGGATAGGTATTGTAATGTAAGTACTTAGGGGTGTGTGTATGTTGATGAGTGAATGTATACACATAATGATATCCTTGACATAAACCAGGAACAATATAACCGCAGACTTTACGGAAATCAAAATCTCATCAAGGAAGAATAAGAACAAGAAGAACGTATAGAACAAAATAAGAAAGAAACAAAAATTAAAATTTTTTACAATATAAATTTGTTTTTTTTTTCTGCTTTTATTTTCTTTTTTCTTACCTTTTATTCTTTTAAGTAGTACGACAGAATAATTTCACCTGTACTTATGCAGATTTTTGCAATTTGTTATGTCAAGAAAATTCAGGAGGTATATTTGGTTTAATATCCTTCTATTATACTCGCATCTTATGTTTACACTATTTTATATTTGTTATAATATTATAATAAAAAAAAAAAAATATTATTAAAAGCATAAAGAAAAACAAACTTAGAGCAGGAATGGTACGTTAGGAAAATTTTTCTTTTTTTTTTTTTTGTTGACAATGCAAATTCTAGGATAATTTGCTTAATTTGTTATTGTATTCAGCAATTTTGAATTTATAAATTCAAGTTTTGTAAACATTTCTGGTATTAAAGGAATTATTTGAAATTGTTCTCATTAACCCTTATTATCGCTAAAGTCAAGGCGGATCTTTAATGTCCTTTATCACTTCCATTAGAAGAAGAAAGAAATGTTGTTCAACCAAGGAAAAAGATGACCATGTGATATAAAAATACTTATTATTCTACATTGGGACAGATCCCGGTGGTTTTATTTTTTCCGACTGTTGCAGTTTTTTTTGGTTTATGGCTCTTGTCGAAATATTTTAAAATTTTCAATAGAATTTATTGAAATAATTCACAAGTTTCCTTAGAATACTCTTAATTATAATATTTTCAAATAATAACAAATAAAATTCATATAAAATTTATAGAAAACATTTGTACTTAAAACCAAGAATAACCTGTTTTAGGAGTTGTCGGTTAATGATAACTAACAAAATGACTTACGGCTGAATTTTCTTCTATCAAATATTTGAGAGCTCAACTAACCAAAAAATCCCTTTACAATTTTCTCACATAACGTTGAACTGTTTTGGGAACATATTTGGCGAAATTATACCTGAAATATTTTAGGAAACTTTATCCATTTCATTTGGTAACTTCAATTTCCCCCAACAAACGGCTTATTAATTTTATTATATTCGGATTTCCAGCTTGAAACTCATAAGTTTTCTTCATTGCAAACTGCAATAATTATTATGAATTTCAATAAATAAATTAAAAAACTTTTACTGCATACGATCAATAGCATAAGCAGTTAAATTTCTTCCCGTATACAACATTATTTTTCCCCTAAAGTTTTTTTTTTTTAAATATTAACTTGTTAATTTATTTTATAACTTAATTAATAAAGAACTTCTTCATTTTCTTTCTGATATTAAAAAAGAAACAAGCACAAAAATAAAATCTTCATTTTAATTAACAGGGAAAGTGATATTTTAACAACATCCCCTTTTATCTTTTGTACACAACAAATTTTCAAACATATTGTATAACAAACAAACAAACAACTAAAAAAAAAAAGAAAAATTTTGTATATTCTTTATTAATAAAATTTCAGGAATCTTCCTTTTAGATTCTTTCACGTATAACACCATACAAAACAATTTTACAATTTTTCAACTTATGAAATTTTTCCTTTTTAAGTCTTCATCTCTTGGTTATCTCTTGAGTGGAAGAGGAAATTTAGTATACAGTGTATAAATTAACTTCTTCTGAATGCATGAAGGAATGAATGACAGTGTAAGGAAAATGAAAAAGAGAAAAAGAAATTTTAAAATAAAAGTTTTTCCCTGCCTTGTTTTTTGTCTTCGTTTTTTTTCTTGTTACGTTTCACTATGAAATTTTATAAAGGATGAAATCCGCTCCTTGTTTTCCTTATCATTTCTTATATATTTTCATGTCATTCTTCTTTCTTTCACTTCTTGTTTTCCTGGTTCTTGTTCTTCTTTTTCAGCAGTTCTGTTCAGTCTTCATGTATACATACAGAAACACTTTCTTCTGATTATTTTTTAAGTCTATATATGTGTACACTTTAAAGGAGTAGCACTAATTATATTTGTTTATTTTCTTTAAATAAAACTACAAGGATAATAATATATTTTAATAATTATTTAAGGAGTTGTAAGATTGTTAAAGAAAATACAAGCATATTTGAATAAAAAATTTCACCTAGTTTTTGTTTTTTATGCTTCTTTTGATTTTTTAATTTAAGTATTTTAAATGAGAACATTTTTTTTTAAAGTTATTATTTAATAAAATTTTTTATAATGATTAAAAAAATTATAGTTTCCCTCACTCATTAGTACTTCCCAATTTTGATTGTTGCAAGTACTAAATATTTAAAAAAAATACTTGGAAAATTTGAGGTTTCCCGTGGCATATTGATGAAATTTGATTATTAGTTACTACATTTGAGAGTTATTTAATGTTTGTTGTTTGTACTCACCACTTAATTAAGCGAAGTCACCGCAACGAATTGATTAAGTTGAAAACTTTCATGTAGGACAGTTTATAAGATTTCATGTAGGAAATCTTCCGAAAAATATATTTTATTCTGAAAAGTCCAAAATAATACGAGCTCATACAAGAAAATTTCGGTATTTTCAATGATATACTGAAATTTTCTGGATAATTTAATTGGGAAGTCGGCTATCCAAGATGGTTAACTCCTCAATTTCAATTTTTCGCTATTAATTTTTTGAATTTAAAGAATACTAATGTCGGAATATACTGTACATGTCTTTGAGAGATGTTCTCTCTGCTTTAGGCGTGTAAGAAGAAAGGGATAATTTCATAGAGCAAGAAAAACAAAAATAACAAAATTAAAAAAATGCTCAATTTTAGTTCAACTTAAAAAAAATTACCAAACGAAAATTTTTATTATTTTTTAACCTCACTTTTTGTTTTTTCTCCATTTTCATTCTCATTGCAACTTTATTTTTATAATTAAAAAAAAAAAACAAAACTTCTTAATAACTTTAAAGTGTTCGCAGTGCATGCTTTGCATAAAATCCTGTAAACTAATTAATTTCTAGTAATTATCTTTTGACACTATATAGCTAAGTATAGTCGATGAGATTCTTTCAAATTATCCTGTTATCTTTCTTCTCTTTCTGGCACTTATATATTTCCCAAAATAGTTGAATCTTACATATTTTAACATCAAAAGAATGAAGAAAAAGGGTTATAAGAATGCTATTCAGATCTTACAATAATAACAGCTAATAAGAGTGCGTTGCCTAGAAGTATGCAAAAATAGAAAAGAAGAAGAAAAATGTTACAGTTATGCCGTAACATAATCATCTTATCGTATATTAAAAAAAATATTAATTGTGGTTTAATTTATGTGAAAAAAAAGAGAAATTAAAAACTGAATGTCTAAGTTTAATGAACTAAAATTTAGACTGCTTATATTGAGCTCATTCCTATGGTGCAATAAGTGTTCATCAACAAAAAAGTGAATTCGCTTAACAATTTAAGGAATTTAAAAGTGAAATTTTAAATTTAATTTTTAAAAGAAAAACCTATTACGTTTGGCGAATTCGTCAACTTGCTCAATATTCTTGAGCTGGTGAATTCGCCAACATTTGGTACACTTATTTGCCAAATTGTTTAAACATAATGACAGCATTGTATACAATACATAATCAATGCTTTAAATACTTTCAACAAATTTGCACACTTGATACACCATATTTTCATTCATCAGATGTTTTTTGCAAATTCATAAAGGAATACAGCGAATTCGCCGCATATTTTTAAAATTCTTAAGGTCTTAAGTGTTTGAAAACGCTATTTCCAAGTTATTGCTACAACAAAATTTCCTTTTTTTTTGTTTATTTCAAAATTCCAAACGCAGTCATAATTAAATTCAGCCAATTAATTATTAAAATTAAACTTAATTAAAAATTTATGTACAATAAATTCAATAATCGCTTTAATTATTATTTTGCAACTCCTGCTATTAACTCTTTAAATTTATTTATTTATTTATTTTTTCTATTTACAGCTTGGAAGTTTATTACCAATAGCGACACCAGCACCACCAACAACTGTAGCACCAACACCTAGACCACCTGATTTACAATCATCAAATTTATTAAATAATGTACCACAGCCGGTCGAAGGGCCTAATGTAAGTATATATTGAAAAAAGCAATTAATTATAAATTATATTAAAATTTATATTATAGAAAAAATATTTTGTAAGCCAGAGAAAATTGAGATTAATTTCATTTAAATTTTTATTTTAAATAATGACAAATCTTTTATAGAATAAACAAAACACTATTAAAATTATTAATTTTTTATAATCCTTTTTTAATTTCATTTATGATTTTATTATAAATTTAATATTTTCATTTTAATACATTTAAAATTTCTATTACAAAGCTATTGCAAATTATTGTACATATATAAATTAATTGTACATTTAAATATAACATTATATAGGATTCATTGAACATTAAATCGATTATATACTAAAAAATTCACTACAAATACACATTCATTTAAAACATACATATGTATAACACATATATGTATAACACAATTTCAACATAAATTTATTTATAATAGCGATAGTTAATATCAATTAGAAAATTTTTAATTATATATATTGTTAATTATTTTATAATAAATTTTTTATGTGGGCAAAAACCTCATTCATGACATTAAACTACAATATAATTAATTATTGGGTTAATACAGTTTATTAATGATTCTGTTAGTATAATATAAAAAAACTCAATTAATTTTGTTTATAAATTTGATATTATAAAAATTCCATTATTACAAAAAAAATTAAAATAAAAGTTTAATGAAAGTTGTAAAGTAATAATTTTAAAGCGTCACAAAAACGAGCATAAATTTCATTTCATACAGTATGATGTTAAATATTAGAATGTTGTAAAACAATATCGAACTTGTCAGTTGATAATAAGTCAATTTTTCCGAAGTGTATCCTGAGAATTGGTGATTCAATGAATTCATAAAAAATTAAGTACAAATCTTAAAAAAAAAACCAAAACATGCAAGAAATTGGATGAAATTGGATGAATGCTATAGTACAGTTATCCTTGGTTTTAAACCAATTTCTGTCGATTATATTTCTTTATATTAATACTAATATTTTGAATTCCAAGACAAATACCTAAATTTTTAATAATTAAGAGCTGTGGCAGAAATGCGATTTGCAATTCCTGTCTGGTCTAAATAATATTGTTTACAGCTTACTAAATTGCAATCGCATATTGTAAAAAAAATTAAAAATTGTTTGATTGTTTAATTGCATGCGATCATACAGTTGCATGTGAACGTGCTTGAATTGAAACCTATGGAATTCAAATAAGCAATCAAACAGTTACTAAACTAAATATTGTATGTCTGCTTAAGCTCCTTAAATAATAATAGAACACTATTAAAGGAAGAAATTTTTACAATTGAAATTTTACAATTCAATGTAATCTGCCTGCTATATGAATTCGACGTTTATATGAAAAACTAGATTCATACTAATAATAATTGTGAAGAAAAGAATTTGTTCGGAATTTAAAAAATTTCATTAAATATTTTTCAATAATTTGAATTTTTTAATTGAGAAACAAGAATTTTAGGAAATTATTCCTATACATGTGTAAATATTTTCTATATTATACTTACATTATATCGGAAACACTTCATAACTACAATTTCAAAAATAATAATTATTGTTCTAAAATATTTTTTTTAATAATTTCTAATAAATAAATTGAAATTTCACAAGGTACTCAAATAAATAAATAAATTGTATATAAAATTGAATTTTTTTTTTTTGTTTTCCATAAAATATTTAAAAAATAAATAATAATTATGAAAATAGTCTTGCATATTTCACATATAATAATTAAAAGATTTTCCAATTTTGGTTTTATTTTTCACAATTAGAAAAAAAAACAAGCAAACAAACAATATTAACAATAATAATTAATTTATTTTTCATTTTAAAATATAAAAATAAAAATTTCCAATTTATGATTTTCAATTATAATTTTCTATGTAATTTAATCCTTAAATAATTGGTTGTACCAATTATAATAGTTTTTTATTGTTATTATTATTATTTTTTTATATTAATATTATATACTTAATAAATAAATCATAATAATATAAAATATGTTTTTAAATAATAATTATAATAATAATAAAATATGAGAGAAAAATAGGAAAAAATATTGCAACATTTTTCGTATGTAGAACCTTATAAAACAATTATTATTGCAAATTTTTTTTCAAAAAATTATGATTATTCAATTAGACAATATTAATATTCTATAAAATAGAAAATATTATTAATATTTCTCAATAATTTTTCGAATTGTAATTTAAAACAATGCAAATTATATGGTTTTTAATTTAAATTTTATAAACGATTTCTGAGAATTAATAAATTAATATTGTTAAAATGTAAAACAAAATAAATAAATAAAATTATTTAATGAAATTACTATAGAGCTGCCCTAGCTTTTCTTCTTAATTTCTCTGATTAAATTCAATTAATTAATAATAATTTTTTTTTTCTGTGTAAATTCAAAAATATATTACAATTAATTATTAAAGTTAATTACGTTAAAGTCCTCGAGATACGATATCATCTAATACGACATTTCAAGTTACGACAACATGATATAAATTCGGCTTGCGACATTGCTACTGATACGACATTAAAAATTTAAAAAACTTTTTTTTTTTTTACATATTTTACTAATTTTTGAATAAAAATCTATTCTGAATTGAGTTATAAGACAAGTCTAAAGCATATACTTCGATAAAGAACTCTTTCTAGTTAAAAATACTAGTAAGTAACTAAAAATACGAATTGAAGTTACATGCATAAATTTTGTTACCTTTTTTTAAAAAAACAGGTGAATTATAGTTTAAAATAGTTTGTCTGATTCACTTTTTGTTTTCATACATTTTTTTTCCTTCTAAATCGAAAATTCGAGTTACGACATAATTTTCTGGAACCAAAAATGTCTTATGTCGATAACTTAGTGTATTTGAATCAGAATACCCTTATTAAGTGTTAACAAATTATGAATATAAGGTAATTGCATAAGTTTTTTAAATACTAAAATTAAATACTGTAAGCAATTGATTAAATATTTTAAGAAATTTGGATTATTAACCAAGAGATGTTGAACCATTTATTCGTCACTTTAAGTTGTTATAATTAATATTTTATTGCTACACAATTCAGCAATATGTGTATTAGTTCAGTGAATTGGCTAGGCTAAACATTATTTATATCATGAAAATTACAATTGCATGAAAGTGCTAAAAAATCGTCATTTACACGCATGAAATACAGCTAGTATCAGCTGATTCCCAAGCAAAATCGCCATTATTATTAATTAATAATCAGAAATAATATAGACAAATTATAGAGAATAATTACAACACATAATTTGAATTGTATATAATAATTAATAATATAACGCATTAATAAAATTTTGTACTGAGAGAATTTTTAAGACTAAGAGAGAAAATAAATTCTTCTTTAATACTTTTTATAAGTAAAAGCCCCACAAAGTATGCAATATTTTTTTTATTAAAATTCAATTTTATAAATCATTTTTTTTTTTTTGTTTTATAAAAATTCTCTTCATTTGTTTCTCTTGTATAACATTAAATATAATATGAACTTAACTCTTAAATAACACTTTATTAACACTATACACTTAAATACTAAAGTACAAAATAGTAAATTCAATAATACTTGTATTATTTTTGTATATCTGTATGTATAACACTTTACAATAACTTAACACTTGTGTTTTTTTTTTTTGCAACTCAAAGGGTTACAAATTATTATATTATTTTTAGTTCCTCTTTTAAAATACTCATTTAAAAAAAAAAATATTAATTAAAAAATCAAAATATTTTATTAAATAAAATAAAAAAAAATTAAATAATCTTTCCTCTCCAAAAACAAAAAAATAAAATCATTTTCATCGGAACATTTAAAAATTGCACAGTTCACAGTATCTCCAGAATATGAAACGGTAAATATTAGATTATAACTGTAAAATAATCCTTTATTATTTTATCTATAATATCGTAAATATTTTGTAGTGTTTATTAATTTTATTTTTGTTGTTAAATAAGTATTTGTTTTGAAAAATATTTCATTTGCTTTAAATGATTATTTTTTTTGTTCTTTTTTCAATTAAATCGTATTAAATAATAATTTTGTCGGTTATTTTTGTATATTATGTAATGAGAAACTATTAACTATGTTCATTAAATTATCTTGATAGGATTACATAATATGAGGGGTGCTTGTAAAGAAATTCTACTCGCAAATTGCTTCAAAATATAGATAGAGATTTGTTTTAACAATTGGTTAGTTTTTATTATAAAAACTGATCACATTCCTTGACACTATAATATATTTCTTTACGAACTTAAACTTTTTACTTATATAATGCAGTGTAAATGATTAAAATATGATCCCAGGTTTCAAATAAATATTGACAATAAAGAGTACAACTATGAACTTCACACTTGTAAACTTTAAATACTTATTACAAATTTAGAAATCGTAATTTTACTTCCAATATTGCGAAATAACTCCAAAGCCTTCGAATTCTTACAATGATTTAGAATCCAGGTAAAAAAAATTTCAAACAATAACTGTTTAAACTTATTAACTACGAGTGTTCAACACCGATTTCTCGATTTCTCGCCTTTTGAACTCCAACTCCTCAATTTTTCGACATAATCAAGTTCAGCTTCTGGGTTATAAAATTTCTTAAATTTCACATTTTAAAATGTGGAATGGAAATTATTCCACAACTCTAAATAATATTCACTTCCATTTCTTGATAACGATTTATTGGGTCTAGTTTCAAAATTACAACACTTCCCAACTATTTGATTCCCAGTCTATGACTCCCACTCTATGTCACTTCTACTTTTGTTCAACATCTCAATTTATTATGAATTCTTGATTGCTTGAATGTCATTCCGAACATCGACTCTTCCATTCTGAATCTGTCTCCGCAGTTCAGCTTACAGTTGTTTGCTGTTTACATTATTCTTTTTACTTTTATTAATTCTAACTGTCATGCAACACGAATCTTTATTGTGAAAGCAGGCATTCGATACCATGGTTTAATACCATTAAAAAATTTTACCTTACTTTATACAATTTGAAATTTGTTTTATTGTTTATTTATAAACATTATTAATAATTTTTTTTTAAAAAACTGCCATAAGCTAAATAACAAATTCAAAATTTATTTAATTTTTGAATTTCCCTATATTTAGACTTTTAGAATACATGAAATGGTAAATATAACAGATAAATATAAAAACCTTGTTATTTGTCAAATACTGACCTACCAACATACGTCATATTCCATATATCGTCCTATATTCATATTGTCTAAAAAATTTGTTTGCATGTGGTGTCAATGTGTGCTTGTGTGTATCTGTAAATCTTGCCGCTTCTTCTAACAATATTAAAGTTCCCAAACAAAATGGAAAACTTATTTAATTCGCTATTTAATTGTTATAACGTAATCTATGTATTGTTTATAGCCTTTAAATTATCATTTTGTATACACAATATTGTGTGTCAGTATGCAATGCATTTATAAATGCAATATAATTATTATATAAAATGTTTTAATTTATACTTTAATAATGTTAATTAAAAATAGTTTAAACAATTAATTTTTTCTTTTTGTACTCTAAAAACATTTTATATTTTAATTATATTTCATATTATGTTTGTGTATATAAAATATAATAGAAAAGGATCAATAATAAAAATATTTTACTTAATACTGTTATATTCATATACAAGTACCGCTATATTATCATTATTTTATCATCGTTATATTTGATAAAATTCTATTACGTAATTTCAACATTATTTATCAATAAAAATATATAGCATATATTTAGGAGAATATTAAATAAACATTTGTACGTCATAATTATACTATTGCTATGTTAGAAACAATTCCTGCCTGTTCTTGGTACCGTTAAATATTTTCTATTTTAATGGTGTGATAATTATATATTTTGTAGATTCCACATAAATTAGAATTACCACCATCACCAGCACCACAACCACCACCAATTCCGATATATAGAAAACAAGAGGATGAAAGTGATTTAGCTGGAAAAATTGAAATATTTTCATATTGAAAATGTTTGCATTATAATTATTATACAAAATTTTTACTTGTTCATACTAGTTGTATATAAACAGGTTTATTGATTATGAATTGTTATACAATATAATAATATTAAAAGTTATGTAAATATTTAACAAATATTGTATATATTATACATGGTATATACTATTGTATATATAATATCAAAAAATTGTGATTAAACTATTATATAGACACTATGTAAATGGTGTTATGCCACATGTAAAAAATGTGTTAATAAAATTTTAAATATCTACTTGTATATAAATAACAAAAAATATACATACAAGTATAAATTTATACTTAAATATTATATTACTGTTATATTTTTTTTAATACAAAATATAATTAAAATATTAAATTGATGAATTGAAATTTATAAAGTTATTGAAAGGATTTATGCTGTCAAAGTTATGTAAGCGATATTAAAATTAAATATTATATAGTGTCAGTCAAAATTAAAATATATATTTACATAATTATCTCAAGTATATACATATATATATATATATATAGTGTATATAGGTAGACGTATAGTAAAGATATATGACATATACTTATTTTTTTCAAGAGTTTACAATATAACGTCGCAGTTACTTCCCAATTAGTTTTGAGTTTTACTTGTGTATAGGTTAAATGTAAACTATAGTAGGCTAGTCTTCTACCTAATTACAACCCAATGACGTGTTAAATTAAGGGCATGACTACATATGATATCATGTACTAGCCAACTGAATGAACAAATAGCAATGAACAAAAATTTGGCCCTTAGAAAGCAAAGAACAATAATTTCATTCATTTACAATTGATTTATTAAAATTTATTTTGCCATCATTTAATTACATTAGGCCAAAATAGGCTCAAAATAGCTAAGTGTCTGCATTCAATATTATTGTTAAAGGATAATTATATATTTATATTAATATAAGGATTCAACTTATATCATGCTTATGGGTCGACGCAGGAGGACACTTGGGGCAGTTTGTGATATGTGCAGGGCGACCATTTGTTGGGTTTCCGTTCGCAGCGGGGTAAGGGAAATTAGATGGCAATTGCCTTGCGAGGGCTGAGATGGCCGGGTAACTGACGTAGTGGATGGGTCCGTCTACCGCGAGGATCTTAGATAAGGAAACCAAAAGGAGGGGAAAAATCTTGTAGGAGGAGGATCACGTATGCAGGATGACCAGAATAATGTAACCTAGTAGGAAGAAGAAGAGGACGACGGTGTTGTTGAAATATAGTATAGATGTCACGATATGGCGGATGCTGAGAATATGGAACATGTTCTTTACGCCTATCCGTCTTTGGTGTGGAAGAAAAAGCGTGTCCTAGGGGCTTTTATGATGGCCTCCAGTCTTTCGGGCGTCTTTTGAAATTCGAAGCTGGTTGGGAGGTGGTCTGTGCGATTGGATTATATGTAGGTTTTGGGGTGTTAATCTGAGTGTGGCCGATAAGTCTCTTTGTTCACCTAGTTCACGGGCCAGTGCATGACAACTCATGATTTTTATTCATTTTCTTATATTTAAATAAGTGTTTCATAAGGTTTTTCAAATATTAATTTTCACGTTTTCCTCAATAAATTTTTAATTTTTTTTTATTTTCAAATACTGAAATTAAATTTAGGAGCTAAAAAAATTGATGTCTTACATTTTTACTTTTCAATATTTTCAATTACATAAAAAAAAAAAATAAACCGCGTTTTAAAGCAATTTTTCATATTTTTACCATATTTTTTCAATGAAATATTATCCTTGAAATTCATAAATATGTATACAATGTTATTTTGGTTTTGTTTCTATACATACACACACTGATTTATGGTACACACATTGTATGCTCATACAATTTATGTATGTCGATATAGGTTTGTCAGCCCAAAAGATAAATGTTTCAATCTCAAATTTTTTATTGAAATAAATCAAAAATCAAAATAAAAATAAAAAAATTCAATTTCAGTAATAATACTCGCATATTATACATTCATAAAATATGTGCCTTTATATACAGCTCCGGTTTTGCCATATATATTAAATGAGCATTTGCAATAGGCGCCGGAAACAGGGGCGCCATTAAACACTTAGTGAAATAACTAAATTTGAAAAGATAGAAATTTTTTACATTTTTTTCTTTTACGTGATTTCCAAAAACTTTTTTCTTCCTATTTACAGTGAAATTAATTTGATAACATATACCTATACATATATATAAACATTGGAAACCAAAAATCTGAAAGTTTAATTCCAGGCTTTAATTCTAAGACTAAGTTTTTATTCAGCATGGTAAAATTACAGGAAAGTGATTTTTGGAAATCGCGTAGGGTGCCAAACAAGTCAGAGCCGGGCCTGTTCATACCTATATATGCAAACATCATATACGCACATATACTCAATTTTTTCTTTCTTTATATGCGTTTTAAGAAATTATGATTCCTCTAGTATTTCCATTACACCATAGAGTTCATATATTCCATATGTATGTGCATATTATGTATTTGCACACATTGTTATGTGGTAGGAAATCATTTACTATACATATAAATCGCACAGATGGTGAGGATGAAATTAAAAATCATTGCTTTTCAATGAAAATTTGATGTTATCACCATTATTGATTCATTCATGATTTTCCAAATATTTTGGTGTTTCTCCCCCTTTTTGTCGATTTGTTGTTCTTTTTTTTCTTAATATTCGAATGTCAGAGATTTGAACATGATTTTGAAATTATTACGATACATTTTATGTACATTGAATATTTTTAATCCATTTTTACTCATTACTAAATTGAATTTTTTTCAAAAAAATATGAAAAAAGAAATCAAAATTTTAAGAAAATTGAAT